TCAATACATACAAAATGTACTAGCACAAGAAGTTGGAATTAAACCATTCCCATAATCAAGATAAATTATATTTAATCTTGTGCTACAATCATTCCGATGATTTGTCCAATTCCATCATTAGATTGTGAACATTAACTTTTATGTCTTACAAGAACCGATGATTTAATCTTCCGTGTATAAGCTAAACTCTATACACTAAATCATCTACTATGTAAGCAATGGACGCACAAACCAACACATGATCTATTTAAAATGAAACTTTATTGAATTTAAACAAGTAAATAAATAATTGTTCATAAAGAATACTATAACAATACGCATGGCTTATAGTATATTCTAACACCGGCATCTTACTTTACTAGAAAGGATATTTCACAAATAATGAATCATGCCAATATTAGCTTCGTTCATTGCTTCAGGGAGGCAAATCAAGTAGCAGATTCTTTGGCAAAATTGGCGACTACTAACTCTGAAGCCAAAGTATACCTTTCTTTCCAACAACTCCCAAAAGGAACTAAAGGATCCTTTGTGCTTGACAAATACCAAATGCCTATTGTTAGGCTTAAGTATGACAAAGACATGTTTTTTGTTAGCTAAGTAATACATGTCTTGTACTTTAACAAAGGCATAAACTTATGTAACAACCACTGTTGGATGTATATCGTCATGCTGTAATCCTTGGAGGTAAGGCTCACATCTCCTCTTATCTTTTGGAAATAAATACAACACCCCAGGATACATGAGAAATTCTATTAGAAAATCGACCACTAGTGAAGGAGATTGAATTAGGGTATACATTCATTCGATTCGATCCGTTTTAGAGTAATTCGGTTCAATTCAATCCAATTTAAAAGTTTTCTTTATGCATGAACGAATATGTGATACGCCCTTTCAATCTACATGTAACTGATTAATATTATATTATGACTTTGATGCATTACTCTAAAAAAGATTTGAAATTAATAAAATAACATTAAATGGATAAAAAGAGAAAATAATTAAAATTACATCCAAATAAAATTTGAAGATCAAAAAAAAGACAGAGGAAGCAAATATACAATATAAATAAATAAATAAATAAAAATGAATTGTACAAAAGAAGTGAATAATAAATATGGATAAAATAAGAAAAATTAATAAAAGGGGCATAAAAAGGAAGGAAATGAAAAAAAAACAAAGGATAAATTTGGACCACAATATCGAGACTCGATCCTAGGCCTTCTATCTAGACATTGAGACTTCATCCATGGCGCGAAAAGTCATTTTCTATTGGGGTGCCACTCGTTGCTTATGTAGTATCTTTAGAAGAAAATACTAGTATATATAAAAGATTATATTCGAGCGATCGGATAGCATGTTGATGTTCGGCCAAAAGTATGTCTTTTTGTATATGAATCCCCTCACATTTTGCTCTATTCTTTGTTGTTCTAATGTGTTTCAATGAGTTGAGCTAATTTTTTTATATTTATATTTGTAGGAATCAAATGAAAGTGATTTGGAAAGTTAGCGTGCAAAATAAAGTAAAAACGGAAGAATTTGGAGGAAGTACGAGTTTGGTGCCCAGGTTGGCGCCGGGGGCCGATCTAGGGGCGCAAGGGTGTTCATCTGAACCCCCTTCGTCGGAAAATTACACTGTTTATATAGGTTATTTTTTTTTCCGTATAGATATTAAATGTTGAACCTCCTTGACACAAGTCAAAAGCTTGGCTTAGTGGTTAAGGAGGTTCAAATTTTAAAGAAGGTCATAGGTTCAATTCACGTCAGTTGCAGTCTAATTTTCACTTCAGACGCTTTTTTTTAAAATTTTAAACGACACAAGACTCCGTTTCTCGTCGACTCTTTTAATACGATTTCCCCCAAAAACGTGACTACTTCGTCTCTTCTTTTTAATTTAGGGATTTTGGGTTGAAAAATCCCTAAATCTCTCTCTCTCTCTTTGTTGCCTCACTCCACCCGCTCTCTCTCTCTTCGATATCAGTTCTCTCCGTTTCCTCACTAGTCGCCGCCCTGTCACCGGCGTTTCTTTTGTCATGGCATTGGCATCCCAGGTAAATTCCTTGTTCTTTCTAATTTTTTCAGAATTTTATTAATATCTTATTGTTGATTCTTAAATTTAGGTTAATGACTCTTATTCTTTCGCCGACCTATCTGTTTTTTTAACATATTCAAACAAGAATAGAGAAGATTAAAGAAAGAAGCTGTCTTTTAGTTATGGCCTTTAACATCAAGCCTAATCAATCTAGCTTCAATTAAGATTGAAACAATTGGAACAGGAAACTAAAATTAAATAGCTGAGAAATCAGTATGGCAACCAGGTCATAAGTCATAACACTGTCTGTTGTGTAATTTTGTTTTTACAGTAATGCACACTTGCCATTTGATAAAATGCTTAGGTAATTTTGTTCTAACTACATTTTACTTTATAATTTAGTCTCAAAATTCAGTGAAGAGGTATTTTACCAAAGCACCAAAGCCAAATTTGGCTTCTCATACCAAACCTATCCAGGTGGAGGGAAAGAACTCAAATCTTGGACTTCATCCAAATCATCGTTATGTTATTAGAAGAGAATACCTTCGACAAAGTCCTTGTCAACCTTGAATTCATAACTTTCCTAAAACAAATTTTTCTGGATCAATGCGTTGATTTAATCCTTAATAGTTTGATGATGAATATCATGATTGGTTGGAGTACAATGTAAGTAAAGATGCAGCCTATTGTTTGTATTGTTATCTATTTAAAGATGATAATATTCATCATGATCAAGGTGGAGGTGATATATTTTCAAGTATATGGTTTAAGAGTTGGCATAAAAAGAAAAGTTTTGATAAACATGGGTCGAGTAGCATTCACAATGAGTCAAAAAAGAAATGCCAAGATTTGCGGCAACAACGGTCAATTCAATCTTCATTTGAGAGGCAATCTAATCAACTTAAGCATGAGTATTGGATTCGCTTAACTACTTCAGTTAATGTAGTAAGTCTTCTTATAACTCAAGGATTAGCACTTTCAGGTCATGATGAATCTAAGTCTTTACTTAGTAGGGGTAATTTTCTTCAAACTCTCTCATGGTATGCAAAAATATGTGATAACATTCGTGATTATGTACTGGAACATGCTCCTCAAAATGATCAAATGACTTCTCCAATAATTCAGAAAGACATTGTTATTGCATGTAATATAGAAACAACTAAAGCTATAATTGAGGAACTAAATGGTGATTACTTTGCCTTGCTAGTTGATGAATTTTTTGATACGTCCCGCAAAGAGCAAATGGCTATTGTCTTACGATATGTTGATAGAATGGGATTTGTGATGGAGCGACTTATTGATGTTGTTCATGTTCAAACTACTAGTGCTTCATCTTTGAAGAGTGCAATTGTTAATTTACTTGCTCAACACTCCTTAAGTCTATCATATGTGCGTGGACAATGTTATGATGGGGCAAGCAATATGCAGGGTGAGATTAATGGTCTTAAAATGTTAATTAAGTGAGAAAGTAGATCGGCTCATTCAGTTAATTATTTTGCTCGTCAACTCCAACTTACCCTTGTTGCGGTTTTTAAGAAATGTCTTCAAGTGGGGGAACTTGTAGTATTGGTTTCCAATATTTTGAATATATTGGGATCTTCTTTTAAGCGTATGGATGAATTTCGAGAATCTCAAAAAGAAAGAATTCAAGAGGCATTAGATATGGGCGAGCTTACAACTGGTAGGGGCTTGAATCAAGAATTTGGTCTTTCAAGAGCATGTGATACTCGTTGGGGATCTCACTTTAAGTCTTTTAATAATTTTATTCTGATGTTTGGCTCTATTCTTGATGTTCTTGAATCTCTTGTTCTTGATGCACATTCTACAGATAAAAGAGCCAAGGCAATGAGATATCTCAGGGCTTGTCAAACATTTGAGGTTGTATTCATGTTATATTTGATGAGTGATATTTTAGCAATCACAAATGAGCTCAATAAATGCTTACAAAAAAGAGAGCAAGACATTGCAAATTGCAAAAGTTCAGGAAAGAGGAATGAGAATCTCTTATTGCTAAGATATTTGCATTTTGTATCAAATATGATATTTTGATACCTCACTTTGATGAGCTATATGTTAGTTCTTTAAGATCATGTCGTAAGCCTGATGATTGTACATTCTTACATCATTATCGGGTTGAAGTATTTTGCAAAATTATTGATTGGCAAATTCAAGAACTTAATGAACGTTTTAATGAAGTGACAACTTATTTGCTTCATGGAATTGCTTGTTTGAATCCAATTAACTCATTTTCAAGTTTTAACATCAGTAAAATAATGAGAATGACTGAGTTATATCTTGATGACTTTGATGAATGTAGTATGGGTGCTCTTGAGAATCAGCTTGCAAGTTATATTATTGATATTCATCATGTTGATGAAAGATTCTCCGATCTACATGGGCTTTGTGATCTTTCAAAAAGATTAGTTCAGACAAAGAAGCATTCAAATTATCCTCTTGTATTTCGCTTAGTGAAACTTGCTTTGCTTTTGCCCGTTGCTACTGCATCCGTTGAAAGATCTTTTTCGGCGATGAAGTTTATCAAGAATGACTTACGAAGTCAAATGGATGATGAGTTCTTTAGCGGTTGTTTGGTGACTTATGTAGAAAAAATTGTGTTTGACAATATTTCTAATGATGCTATTATTAAAATATTTCAAGATATGAAACCTCATCGAGTGCAGTTGTAATAATGTACTTAGTTATATTTTGTTGATCTCATTAGTCATAGGTCATTGTAACTAACACAAGACTTATTTTTTTTGTATTCTCTTTTGAAAGTCTTGTTACTATGACATGTTTATCCTAACACTATCTTTGTGTTGAGAACTTCTCTTTCTATTAATAAAATCTGTTAACATCTATTTTTTTTGGTTTTGGTTGGCTAGCTTCATTATGTATTTGACTTGTAAAATTTTTGAACCCCCTTCGCAAATATCCTGTCTCCGCCACTGGTTGGCGCCAAGCACACGCAAAACGCTATTGACAGAAGACCAAAAAACTTCATTGTCCAAGTTGGCGCCAAGCGCCAAGCGAGACGCTGAAGGGCGGATTTTGTCCTAATTCGGCTGGGACTTGGGAATTTCAACCTTACATGCCCCCAACATGTATAAAAATGGTTCTAAATTTATTTTTGGGGGATCTAACATACATGGAAGGAAAATTCACGTAGGGGAATACACAACACGCATGGAGGAGGCTTGACAACTAGTTTTTCTTCTCTTCTTTTCTTTTAATTTTATAGTTTATTATTTCTAGAGTTTTGGGTACTACATGAACGTTGTAGTTTGAAGTTTGAATTGCTCTTATTATTTTATCATATTGGTTTATTTATTCAATCTTGCACTTAATTATTTGATTGCTTGATCACCAATTGAATACTATCTACGAATCTAGGGTTGAAGAGGAAATTTTAGATTGTAAATAAGATTGAGTAGAACAAGATCTTGAACTCGAGCATCAGGAACAGATTTGCGGTTAGGATATGGATATAACTAATCGCGTTGCTTGGTTATTATACAGGAATTATTAATGTATTCTTGTTAATCCTAATACTATAGGAATATAGGCGTTAGGTTAGCTTGAATAGGTGAGTATTACTTCGAGAGAAGGCTACGAGAAATATTAACCTTGTCAATCAATAAACTAGATAAATTAATTAGACAATTTAGGCAGAAAACTCAACGCGATTGTTAGCTAACCCATAGCTCTAGAATATTGTCTCTCATTGAATTCGTCTCTAATATTCGCCAACTTGTTTCCTTTAATCTCTTAGTTTGTTACTCGAGATTAGTTGTAGTTAATAATCTTTAAAAATCTCTTGAATAGATTAATTGTCTTAGTTTAATTTAGTTGATAGTTAATCACAAATCCCTGTGAGTATGATATCTGAACTTACAATCCTATATTACTTGTACGACCACGTATACTTGCGTGTGCATTTGGGAGCAACAAGTTTTTGGCGCCATGGCCGAGACTTAGAAATTAACTATTTTACTAGATTAGGTTTTTACTTTTTGTCTATTCAAGTTTAATTTATTTATTTTAGCTTAGTTTAATATTTTATTATCTTTGTTGACATGACATCTTGGAATGAGAATTAGTCGAATATTGATTATTCTTATTTTGGTGAACCTTGTTTATATTGTGGAGGACCGCACTTGTGACAAAATTGTGAATCTCAATCTTTTGCATGGAATATTTGTAATGTGTGTGGTTGTCAAGATAGCCATTGGGATGGTTGTCTTAACTCTTATTATTCTTCTCCGAGCTTTTATTAAAATGTTTCTAATAATGTTTATGAGTTTGATAGTAGCAATAAAATGGAGGATGTGGAACGTACTGCTCGTATTATGGACATGGTGAGGCAAGTAGCCGAACAATAAGATGAAATGCACAAAAAGACTACCTTATTAAAGGAGTGCAAGCTAGAATGGAAGGATTAATGACCAATTTCCATGAAGAACCTCAACTTGACGAAGAGAGTGAGTTCCCACAAGAGCTGTCTAAAAGATAAACTTAGCTTAGATAAGAGATAGCCCAATTTGGTTCAAATATCCATGACCTGCAGGCGTCTAATGAATATAAAGGTTGAGGCGTCTAATGCCCGATAACAAATTGTAGTGGATACTGGCCAGCTTGTGGAGCAGAAAGAGGAATTCCAACTATTCGACCAAAATATTATTGATGATGTCAAGGTTAAGGAAGTGTGCAAACGAGTGTGCCAAAATATTATTGATGATGGAGCGTATTGGACCTCATTCTAACCATTTTTAAATATTATTTTTTGTTGGTGACACGAGAATTGATCCATTCGAGCATATGAAGGAGTCAATTGATGAGGAACAAAGTGCATATATTCTGAAATTTGTCATGCCAAGGAGACAGAATGACATCTCTCGCTTAAAGGTCAAGAAGTGCAAGGTGCGATATCTATTTCTTGGTTCCTTTATTTTCACACCACCTCCCCATGAACGTGATAGAAAAATTGATGCAAAATTGGGGCACAATTCATATCGTCAAAGTGAAAGGAAAAGTAGTGAAAGTCATGTCATCCTGCCGCGACTATAAATAAGGCGCTTGTTGGGGATGGACTGGTTATCACCTTACCACGCGATCTTGGACTATCATGCCAAGACTGTGATCTTAGCCTTGCCAGGTTGCCTAGTTTAGAGTGGAGAGGGACTCCTGGTCATTCTACCCGCAGTGTTATCTCATATGTGAAGGCTCGACGTATAGTCGAGAAGGGGTGCTTGGCCTACTTGGCATATGTTCCTGATTTTAGTGCTGAGGTTCCATCAATTGATTCTGTGCCCATTGTTCGTGAGTTTCCTGAGGTATTCTCTTCAAACCTGCCGGGTATGCCACCCGACAGAGATATTGACTTTTGCATTGATTTGGCTCCGGACACTCAGCCCATTTCTATCTTGTCGTATCGTATGGCCCCTCCTGAGTTGAAAAAGTTGAAGGAGCAGTTGTAAGACTTGCTTCAGAAGAGTTTTATTAGACCCAGTGTTTCGCCTAGGGGTGCGCCGGTGTTGTTTGTTAAGAAGAAGGATGGATCGATGAGAATGTGTATTGATTATCGGTAGTTGAACAAGGTTACAATCAAGAATAAGTATCAATTGCCGAGGATTGATGATTAGTTTGATCAGCTTCAGGGTGCCAAGGTATTTTCGAAGATTGACTTGAGATTTGCCTACCATCAGTTGAGCATTAGGGCATCCGATGTCCCTAAGACAGCTTTCCGCACTCGGTACGGGCATTATGAGTTCTTGGTGATGTCATTCGGGTTGACGAATGCCCCAGTAACTTTTATTGATTTGATGAACCGAGTTTTCAGGCCTTACTTGGATTCGTTCGTGATAGTCTTCATTGATGATATTTTGATCTATTCCCGCAGCCGGGAGGAGCACGAGCAACATCTTAGAGTGGTTCTTCAGACTTTGAGGGATAGTCAGTTGTATGCTAAGTTTTCGAAGTGTGAGTTCTGGTTGAGTTCAGTTGCATTCCTAGGTCTTGTTGTATCAGCAGAGGGTATTCAGGTTGATCCGAAGAAGATTGAGGCGGTGAAGAACTGGCCTAGACCAGCATCAGCTACAAAGATCCGGAGTTTCTTGGGATTGGCGGGCTACTATCGTCGGTTCGTAGAGGGGTTTTCATCTATCGCAGCCCCGATGATCAGGTTGACCCAGAAGGGTGCCCCGTTTAGATGGCCGGACGAGTGTGAGGCGAGCTTTCAAAAGCTCAAGACAGCTTATTTTGATGCATCTCGTATTGGACTTGGTGCAGTGTTGATGTAGGATGGCAAGGTCATTGCCTATGCTTCGCGGCAGTTGAAGATTCATGAGAAGAACTATCCAGTTCATGATTTGGAGTTGGCATCCATTGTTCACGCGTTGAAGATTTGAAGGCATTATTTGTATGGCGTGGCATGTGAGGTGTTCACGGATCACAAGAGGTTGCAGTATTTGTTCAAGCAAAATGACTTGAATTTGAGGCAGAGAAGTGGTTGGAGTTGTTGAAAGATTATGATATCACCATCTTATATCATCCGGGAAAGGCCAATGTGGTGGCCGATGCATTGAGTAGGAAGTCAGCCAGTATGGGCAGTCTTGCTTATATTCCGGTCAGTGAGAGGCCGCTTGCTTTGGATGTTCAGGCTTTGGCCAATCAGTTCGTGAGGTTAGATGTTTCTGAGCCCAGCCATGTGTTAGCTTGCACAGTCACTTGTTAGCGTATCCGAGATTGTTAGTATGATGATCCTTATTTGTGTGTCCTCAGAGACACAGTGCAGCACGGAGGTGCCAAGCAAGTTACCTTAGGTGACGATGGTGTTTTGAGATTGCAGGGTCAAGTTTGTGTACCTAATGTGGATGGTCTTCGAGAGTTGATTTTAGAGGAGGCCCATAGCTCCCGATACTCTATTCATCTGGGTGTCGCGAAGATGTATTAGGATTTGCGGCAACATTATTGGTGGCGGAGAATGAAGAAGGATATCATTGCATATGTGGCTCGGTGTTTTAATTGTCAGCAGGTTAAGTATGAGCATC